TCACCCTCCATCTTGTTAGGACTTTGTACCTTCCTATTGTTAGAGCTCAGAGTCAGTACATTCTGCTCGATAATGAATAACTCTGAAGTGGAGTCTGTTTCACTGCTATTGAAGCAGGAGAACCAAGCTTTTCTTTCTTCCATTCAGGGGAAAGAAACAAGTCCATTAAAATTGTTAAGGGAAGCTGGTCACAGGAAAGAAGTTGGCACCTGGGAAACTGCTGAAGCCAAAGTGAAGCAGCGGCTCCAGGGCCACTCGGACATTTAATGAGGCCATCTGAACACAATTTCCTCTCTCCCTTGTCTTCACTGTAGTCAGACTATTACAACTTGCAGTTAGAAAGAAAGAAAGAAATATTTGCTTTTCTTCCTCCCTTCTCTGAACTGTGAGTCCAACTCATTCTGTCATTCAGGATTCCAAAATAATTCCTGATAGAATAGAGAACATGCCAGCTGGCAAGCAGACAACCTTGCCTCAAAAGCAATGCCCTCCGCTCCTGGCATCGTAGTTAATTACTGTATTATAATATGCCATTTTCATTCTCTTAGTCAATCACACAAGAGGCATGCACTTTGAGGCACTCAAAACAAGGTTGTTTGGGGCGGGGGGGAGCTGATCACTGACAGATAGATTGTTTTTCATTGTGCCTATTTGCAGGGACTTGCCGAGAGAGGGCAAACTACTTTTCCCGCCCATTATTATGCCACCATCCTTAAATATGAAGATTCCTACAAGCACAGCATGTACATAGAATATATATGCAGTATGTATATGAAAGCCTTTCTTGTACCTGGGAGAGTTTAACTACAATAGTTACACTTTATACTTCTTAGCTTTGATCTTAGTTTTGCTTATTTCTCATTGAGAATGACTGAGAACATTAATCTATCTCATAGTCCTGGTGATCCAGTTTTGCCAGGTCATTTCAGGGGGCCTCACAAACTCTCCAGTCTAGTCTTAAGAGATCTCAAGCCCTTCTTTTCTCCTTGTTCTGGGGCTGTGTTCTGGGGCTGTGTTCTGGGGCTGTGTTCTGGGGAGTTGTAGGCCCAGGTGTTTGGGCCTACAACTCCCAGAAATCCCAGCCACAGTTTACCAGCGCTTAGGATTTCTGGGAGTTGAAGGCCAAAACATCTGGGGACTCACAGGTTGAGAACCACTGGTCTAGGGTCTCAGTGCACTTCAAAAGAAGGATTCGTGAATGTGTTAAAAACCAAAATGTGTTCTTCTCTATGAAGCATCCTATAGCAACATGAACCTCTGAACCTCATGATGAAGTTTCTGATGGACAGGGGAATGCAGCAGACAGAAATGAAGCTCTCTTCCTATTGGAAAGAGTCTTCAGTTGTTCACAGTGAACACTGGGTGAATAATGATGCCCACCGGCTAGCCCACTCCTAGTGCCAATAGCCTATGTTTTAGTTATGAGAAGTGAGTGGCTTTTAGGTGGAAGTGAAGCACCATTTCTTTCTCCAAAGGACTACTGAACATTTTGTCCATGGGCAAATAACCTCAAAGATTCATAGGTCAGTGGAGGATGTAACCTCTGAAGAAATGCTCCTTCAGGTATTTGGAGGATTGATGGATCAGTTGAAGTTTTTCCTTCCCAACACTCACTGCTCTCATTTAATGAAACATGACTGTGGTGACCCTCATTACATAAATATATGTGCCATCTGAATCAGGAAATGAAAGATGCTTCTATTTGATTTTTAAACCATGGAAATAAATGCTGCTATCTATTATACGATACGGACTTCTTCTGCTATAAACCTTTCACAAGGCATATACATTTGGGCCCAGCTTGTCTTTTACCAAAGAAAGAGAGAATCCAGTTCAATTGTACACAAAAAAGCGAGCGATGAAGCCAGCATCTAATCTTAGAAGTGGAAATAAGCCTCTCCGGGGAGAGCTACTCCCTGGAATCCTTGGTTGCTGTAGCAACCAGAGGCTATCTCTTGCCAGACTTCAGTAAGCAACAGTAAGCAATGAAAGATGCACAGGTGGGGCTCAGGCAGAGGCAGAGCGGTGAATCTAGGACAAATAAAAGGTATACAGGAATCAGGCAAAAATAGGAAAGTCATGCCTGATGCACCATACATTTTACTGCATGTAAGGAGTGGTAAGAAGATCTACCTACTCTTGATAGCAGCTTTCACTTTTCACTTGGATCACAATTGTCTGGCACAGTGGTTCTCATCCCAGCCTTTGGACCTCCAGTTGTTTTGGACTTTGATTCCCAGAAGTCACAGGCAGCTTACCAGCTGCTAGGAATTGTGCGAGTGGGAGTCCAAAATACCTGGAGGACTAAAGGTTGGGAACTACTGGACTCTAGCACAAGGAAGGTCAATTGTAATCCTCCAGATGTGTATGGACTGCAGCTCATCCAATCCCTCAGCACTATATACTTTGTATGGTTCCTCTTCATCCTGGAAAGAAGTGACTAGTGGAGTGCCGCAGGATTTGGTCCTGGGCCCATTTCCGACTTTCATGGCCGGAATTATACTGGGTTGTCGTAGGTTTTCCGGGCTGTATGGCCATGTTCTAGAAGCATTCTCTCCCAGCATTTCACCTGCATCTATGGCAGGCATCCTCAGAGATAGTGAGGAGGTCTGGCAACCTCTGAGGATGCCTGCCATAGATGCAGGCCAAACATCAGGAGAGAATGCTTCTAGAACATGGCCATACAGCCTGAAAAACCTACAACAACCCACTAGATACTTTGGCTATGACTTTGAGGTCAAAATATCTAGAAAGATGCTTTGGGACATATATTCCACAATTCATTCCCATTGGACATGTTGGGTAGTGTTAGTAGGAGCAGAGAGCTGAAACATCTGACAGGACATTGATTCCTTCTTCTGCCTTATACCATGACAGTTCAAGGGGTTTATCTACATTCACTATGGAATGCAATGGAGAACAACATATTTACTCAATGGATTATCTCTCCAGGGACCTTTCACACAACACAATTAGACCACACTGGGCAGTTCCACATTGACTACTTATCAGCCCTGGAAGATTTCAGACAATCTGCCCTCTAGCCACTGCAAAGGTGGGCGGGAAGTCCTGAAAGTGCAGTGGCACAGAACCCAGATTGACACTGCCACTCAACTCCCCTTACTGTCCTCTCCCCTCTACGTGGGGTTGCCTCTGAAGACGGCCCGGAAGCTCCAACTAGTCCAACGGGCGGCAGCCATGGTTTTAACAGGAGCAGGGCGCAGGGAGCATACAACTCCTCTGCTGTACCAGCTCCACTGGCTGCCGATTAGCTACCGAGCCCAATTCAAAGTGCTGGCTTTGACCTTTAAAGCCCTAAACGGTTCTGGCCCTACATACCTATCCGAACGCATCTCGCTCTATCAGCCCACCAGGACCCTAAGATCTTCAGGAGAGGTCCTTCTCTCTATCCCACCTGCTTCACAGGTGCGGCTCGTGGGTACGAGAGATAGGGCCTTTTCTGTGGTGGCCCCCCGGCTTTGGAATGCCCTCCCTATGGAAATAAGATCAGCCACCTCGCTAATGGCATTTCGGAAAAAACTTAAAACTTGGATGTTCCAGCAAGTTTTTGGCTAACTTGACTTGATGATGTTTGTTCATGGATTAGCAACCTCGGACGACGAATTGGATTGTTGACGTTAATAATGAGATGTTCTGGACTGTATTGGTGGCCCAATACTATGTATGTATATGTATGTATTTTATAGTGTAATTTTTATATTAAATTGTAATATTGTAGTTTTAATTATGCTGTAAACCGCAATGAGTCGCCATACAGGCTGAGATATTGGCGGTATATAAGCGCACCAAATAAATAAATAAATTCTCCTTATTGCAGTAGGTAGCAGGCATGGCGTTGGTCCTGTCAGTAGTGTGTTGCTTACAGTAACACTAGGAGGGGAAAGGGGAAAAAAGGGAATTGTTCCTTGTCTCCCCTCTCCCTGGTCATCTCATCGCTCTGATCAGCATCACTGCGAGTGACGAGAGACCAAGACATTCAACACCGCACCTGCTGGTTGCCATGATGAGCATCCCTTGTCTTTGGTCTGCCTGAGCCTGGGGAACATGGTATGGCTTTGCAAACATTTGCAAATGTTGCAAAAGGGATTAAATATGACTACGGTGTTGTGTATCAAGGAGGAGAAAAAGAGATATGGGCTCGGCTATTGATAGGAAAGGCCTTTGTAGCACGCATCCCTGGAGAGAGGGACAGGTTATGATATTCACAGTTTTCCCACTTTCATAGGGATTCTGTGCCCCAAACTCCGCAATGATGGTAAGCGGATTTTATATATGTTGTACATATTTGTTAAACTTGATGTCTTCTTTTATAGTTAAATGACACTCTCTGTGCAACTGCTCTTGACAGTTCATGTATCCTGCTCAATGACACCACCTGAGTCTAGCATTACAAGAGATCATCCCTAGGTTTCAGGTACTGAAATTTCTGTGTCTGGGGCAGTCCTGACATGACAGCCCTAGCCAAATCTCTCCCTCTTTTAAAAAAATATATACATACAAATAGTTAAAAACTGCAACTAAACAAGTATTAGAGGTTCAATCATCCTTAAAAACTTTCAGTAATATTGAACATTAAAAGTTAAAATCAATCTAAAATTCCCCATTCTTTTATGACCACAAGTGCCTGGCTTCAGTTATCCCTGAAATAGGTTTCACAGGTGAATGGGGCACGGCTTTCAACCAAATATGACTATTAGTGCTACTCACCACTGTACTTCCCTTTTTGGTGTCTTCGTATAAATTTTTGTTCAAAATTAAAATTGACCAGTCAGTCACTTCCTACCTTGAAAAATGGTCTGCATGAGGCTGTCCCAAGAAACAGGTATGAAACAGGCCATGACACACTCCTCAGAGGCTTCATAGAACACTACTGGAATTTGCTTGCTTTTTTTTTTTTTGGAGGAAAAGTGCAGACACTGGGAGGGGGACAGGTAGAGACAGTACTGTCAGCTCTAGCCTACACATACAGGATGACTTACCAACTACCATGATGTTGAACTCAAATCCTTGCTTCATGGCTTTCCTCCGCATCTGCTCGAGGATGGCATCAATTCCAACATAGGAGAATTCAGCAGCTGGTTTCTCCGGCCGTGCTGGGGCGGCTTGCTTGAGGCTAGCATCTCGAGTGGCATCCATCATGCTGCTTGGGTAGCTGGAAATGGCCTCCGGACCTGCAGAAGAAAAAGGAAAAATATTATAAATATTACATGGTAATAAATAAAAACATTAGTTAATACAGAGCCGATTACACCACTAGAGAGGAGGCTTTTAGATATTTTCTAGTGGCCAGAAGCAAAGTGTAATGAATGAAAGTAAGAAAAATATATCTTCCATTTTAACATATTCATTTATATTCCACCTTCCCCTTCAAGACTCTGCACTTTACGAACTTGCTAATTGTCGTGGCTGAAACGCTTGTTACCACCCAGATTGTTGTTATCCATGTGGTTCCCCATCCCCCTATTTGTATTGTCCCTGCTATTAGTGACCAGTGGAAGGGGCAAGGGAGGAAGTGGGCTGGAGCCTGTGAACAATAATGAGGTGGGGAGGGGGGAGAAGGGGAAGCAAGGGAGTTGGCAAGGGCCAACAAACCAAACAACTAGCGAAACAGAAAAGACCTTGGTTTGGACTACGGGATGGAGGGGGGGAGGTGTTCCATTAGCCGAGGGGCCCCCATAGAGGTCGTGGTGGGGAGGGGGAGATGCGGAAAAAGGAGACCTCGAATTCGGCCTAATTCGAACCGCTTATCTACATTAGTAATCCCAAACCGGTCTCCTAAGGTAAATTGGTGTAACCAGGTGAGCGGGCCCTCCGGTTTGAAGGTGGTGCTGCTGAACGCCAGATCTGTCAACGGAAAAACGACCTTTATCCAGGATTTAATCCTGGATGAGCGGGCAGATCTGGCGTGCATTACGAAGACCTGGCTGGATGAAGCTGGGGGTGTGAATCTGTCCCAGCTTTGTCCTCCAGGCTTCTCCGTACAGCACCAACCGAGACCCAGAGGACGGGGAGGCGGGGTTGCAGTGGTCTATAGAGATTCCATCCATCTGACCAGGAGCCCCATCCCGCAGACCACAAATTTTGAATGTGTCCATCTAAGGGTGGGTGACCGGGACAGAATAGGGATTCTGCTAGTGTACCGTCCACCTCGCTGCACTACAGTCTCCCTACCTGAGCTAGCGGGGGTAGTCTCGGGCCTGGCGTTGGAGTCTCAACGGCTGCTTGTGCTGGGAGACTTCAATATCCATGCCGAGGCGACCCTCACAGGAGCGGCTCAGGACTTCATGTCTGCCATGGCAACCATGGGCTGTCCCAACAAATATCTGGCCCCACCCATTGTGCTGGACACACATTGGACTTGGTTTTCTGCCAGGGATGGGAGCAGGGTGGCGGTGTGGAGGAGTTGTCTATCTCTCCGTTGCCATGGACTGACCACTTCCTGATCAGATTTAGGCTCACTGCGCCCCCTAACCTCCGCAAAGGTGGAGGACCCATTAAGATGGTCCACCCCAGGAGGCTTATGGATCCGAATGGATTCCTGACGGCTCTTGGGGATTTTCCCGCCACCTCGGTAGGTGACCATGTCGAGGCCTTGGTCGCTCTCTGGAATGGGGAGATGGCCAGGGCAATTGACATGATCGCTCCGGAACGTCCCCTCTCAAGTAGCCGAGCTAAACCAGCCCCTTGGTTTACTGAGGAGCTGGCAGTGATGAAGCGAAGGAAGAGGGAACTAGAGAGCGTGTGGCGTTCGGACCCAAGCGAGCCAAATCGAGCACGGTTTGTGTCCTTTTTAAGGGCATATGCCGCGGCAATAAAAGCCGCAAAGAAAACTTTCTTTGCGGCCACTATTGCGTCTGCAAAAAACCGTCCGGCGGAGTTGTTCCGGATTGTCAGAGGTCTTTTAACTCCCGCCACCTCAGGCGGGAGACCTGACAACTCGGTCACGTGCTGCGAAGCATTTGCTCGGTTTTTTGCAGACAAAGTCGCTTTGATCCGTTCTGGGCTGGACACCATGTTAAATGCAGTCTCTGAGGATGTGACACGAGCACCTGCTTGTCCTATTTTGATGGATTCTTTTCAGTTTGTGAAGCCCGAGGATGTGGACAAGATACTTGGAGGAATGAGGCCCACCACATCCATCCTAGACCCCTGCCCATCCTGGCTTCTGAAGGAGGCCAGAGGGGGATTGGCTGAGTGGGTAACGGTGGTGGTTAATGCCTCCCTTCGGGAAGGCAAGATTCCAGCGAGGCTTAAAACAAGCTGTTATAAAACCGCTGTTGAAAAAACCATCACTGGACCCCACTCAATTCGCCAACTATCGACCTGTTTCCAATCTCCCCTTTTTGGGCAAAGTCCTGGAATGTGTGGTGGCTTCACAACTCCAGGTATTCTTGAGACACGGATTATCTGGATCCGGCACAGTCTGGTTTCAGACCGGGACATGGTAACCGAGACGGTCTTGGTCGCCTTAGTGGATGATCTGCGCCGGGAGCTAGACAGGGGGAGTGTGTCCCTGTTGGTGCTCCTGGACCTCTCAGCGGCCTTCGATACCGTCGACCACGGTATCCTTCTGGGGCGCCTTGCGGAAATGGGTCTTGGGGGCACTGCTCGGCAGTGGCTCCAGTCATTTCTGGAGGGTCGTACCCAGAAGGTGTTATTGGGGGACACCTGTTCAACACCACAGCCTTTGACCTGTGGGGTTCCACAGGGCTCTATACTGTCCCCCATGCTGTTTAACATCTACATGAAGCCGCTGGGTGAGATCATCCGGAGTTTCGGGGTGCGGTGTCATCTGTACGCAGATGATGTCCAACTCTGTCACTCCTTTCCACCTGCTACTAAGGAGGCTGTCGAGGTCCTGAACCGGTGCCTGGCCGCTGTAATGGTCTGGATGAGGGCGAACAAACTGAAATTAAATCCAGACAAGACAGAGGTACTCCTGGTCAGTCACAAGGCCGAACAGGGTATAGGTTTACAGCCTGTGCTGGACGGGGTCGCACTCCCCTTGAAGGCGCAGGTTCGCAGCTTGGGTGTGACCCTGGATTCATCTTTGAGCCTGGATCCCCAGGTTTCAGTGGTGACCAGGGGAGCCTTTGCACAGCTTAGGCTCGTGCGCCAGCTGCGCCCGTACCTTGGGAAAGCCGACTTGGCCACGGTGGTACACGCTCTGGTCACATCCCGCCTTGACTACTGCAACGCTCTCTACGTGGGGCTGCCCTTGAAGACGGCTCGGAAGCTTCAGCTAGTCCAGCGCGCGGCAGCCATGTTACTAACGGGAGCGGGACGCAGGGAGCACACAACGCCCTTGTTGTTCCAGCTCCACTGGCTGCCGATCTGCTACCGGGCCCAATTCAAGGGCCCTACAAAGCCCTAAACGGTTCCGGCCCAAAATACCTGTCTAACCGCATCTTGGCCTACGAGCCCACGAGGACTTTGAGATCGTCTGGGGAGGCCCTTCTCTCGATCCCGCCTGCCTCACAGGCACGCCTGGCGGGGACGAGGGACAGGGCCTTCTCGGTGGTGGCCCCCCAGCTGTGGAACACCCTCCCTGTTGACATCAGACAGGCGCCCTCCCTTATGGCTTTCCGGAAGAGCCTAAAGACCTGGCTATTTGAAAAGGCATTTAACTGAGTGCTACATTAACTGGTAATGACAACTGGAACGGAATATGGACTATGAGATTGGTTATGATTCCATGTTATGACGGCGCGGATTAGTTAGTGTAATTTATTTTAGTGTGTACTATTGATATGTTGATTTCTTGTTGTGCTATATTGTAAATTGTTTTTATATGTTGTACACCGCCGCGAGTCGCCCTAGGGCTGAGAGCGGCGGTCAACAAATGCAGCAAATAAATAAATAAATAAATAAAACGGAGATGAGAATTACAGAAATCTAATCTATGAGGTACTAAGTACAAAATAAGAGAAGTAAAACATTAAAAAGTTATTTTTCTGTCTCCAAAATGGATTTTAAACATCCCAGATATCTTTGTTGAGTTTTCAGAAGGATTCCTTTGCCATACGGTGATATACTGCAACTGTCATGCATAAAAAATCTGAATTTGCAGAGTATTGGAAAATATCCTGATCTCTTTACAAAAGACTCTCTGGGGATGCTCTTAGCTTCAGTTGACTTTGAGAGGAATAGGAAATGGCACCCATATTCACAATTGCTCAGGATACTGAACCAAAATGAGATGGAAATCAATATTTCATTCATTCCTCTTGTTCCCAATCAAGTAGTCTATCTATACATATGTGAAACCCTATATGCCACACACTACACTTGATGTTAGCCAAAAGGCCAAGAAACTCTATACTTTCAAATTCTGTCTTTGTTTTTTTTTTTTTTGTGGTGGTGGTGGTGCTACCACTGCTCATGTGGTCTGTGTGAAAAATGGTCTCTGCCTTGGCACTGTTGCTCACCCCAAGTCTTAAAAATGCTTCTTGTTCAGTGATTGGAAAGTCCCTCAGGAGGCTTTGCATAACCTCTAAAAAAAACCATAAGACATCCCGTGTCCTTAAGCTTGCAATCTAAAGAGGCATGGAAGAAATGCAGGTAGGGGAGGGGAACAATATAAAAAATATCAGGGACAAGCTGTTAATACCATGAAACTTATATAAGGATGAAATTTAAAGCTGCTGCAGTGCCATCAAGCAGCCAGATGTTGCTTGGTCTTTTCATCTAATGTGCAAACAGTCAGACAAATCAAAGCTAAAAATGCTGAAATGTCTATCTATCCAGCATCACTGATGAAGTAGCCCTGCTTCCCTTCTGTCTCTCCCTCTCTTGATGACCTGGCTGGATCTCTGCTGGATTAGCCAAGGTCAGTGGAGCTGGCTTTTCAGGAACAAGAGTCCTGAGCCAGGACAAAAATCTGGGTGTCTAAATGATGCCAACACAGATGCTGAAGTCTCTTCTAAATTAATTTATTTCCAAATTTTAAATTATTATGGGTTTTTTTAAATTCATGTATTTAAGTTATTTCATCACAGGGAAGTTTAGCTGTGCATGTTACTATACAAATACGCAGTATCTGATCATTTTGAAATTTAGAAAGGTTCTTCTCTCAAAGGAACAGTTATACACTACCAAACTGACCACTCACCACTCACAGTCATGCTTTTAAACTTCTCTAGCTTCCCCTCTAATTTAGATGTTGTTCATC